TTTTCGTGGGGGAAGTATCAGAAATGTTCTTCTTCATATGTTGAGCAGAACGACGGATACTACCGACTGATATGGTTTATATCAAATCAAATAGATAAGTATGTATTTTTGGTCATTAGGTTAGCACAGGTTAGTCTTGGGGAATGTATCGAAACTGTTCTACTCCATATGTTGAGTACAAGGATGGATATTACCGACTGATGTAGTTTATATCAAATCAAATATTTCGATCTGTATAACATAAATATTTATTGTTGGTCATCAAGTTAGCACATGTTAAGTCTTTATGTACGAGGCGAAATGTTGACTTTTCGTGGGGGAAAGTATCAAAAATCGCCTTCTCCATATGTTGAGGAGAAGGACGGATATTACCGACTAATATCGTTCATATCAAATCAAATACATAAATCTGTATAACATATTTTTTTTGTCATCAGGTTAGCTCAGGTTGAGTCTTTATGAGCGATGTGCATTTTTTAATTTCCGTGGAGAAAATATCAAAAATTGTCTCCTCCAATCCGTCTCTCTCTCCTCCATATCGTTTACATAAAATCAAATACTAACATAAATATTTATTTTTGGTCATCAGGTTAGCACAGGTTGAGTCTTTATACGGCGAAATGTTGACTTTTCGTGGGAGAAAGTATCCGAAATAATCTCCATATGTTGAGTACAAGGACGGATATTACCGGCTGATATCGTTTACATCAAATACTTTAATCTGTATAACATAAGTATTTATTTTTGGTCATTAGGTTAGCACAGGTTGTTGGTTCTCGCCTGTATATTGTAATGCTTTAAGAGAGGAAAACCATCCCAGAAAACCAATTAGTTAGGCTTCGTCCTGAACTTCCCCCAATTTAGTAAAGAAGTTCTGCCAGAATTCATGAAATTTGGAAGTAGCCCCAAGTCTGTAGTCACAACTTTTTTAGGAAACCAAACTGTAAGACCTTGTTCGGAAATCTGTCGAAAATTTGATAAACGTTCAGACCGAATCTCAAACTTGTTCGGTCTCCAAGTCATACACGTACTGCGACCAAATCAGGTGATTCACACCTGATTTTTTACGGATTTCGGATCATCTAGATTCCTATTTCGGGCTAAATTATGATACATGAACTTTGTAGTTTCCAAATAAGCTTGCATTTATTGTAGTAGAAAACATTTAACTGTTCTCAGTATTAAATATATTTATGTATTTGAGCAATATTTTCCCACATATTAATAAAACAATTAAAAATATAGAACCAATATTAAATATCTTACAAATCAAACGAAAATTAGAAAAAAATAATACTAAACAGGCTGGAACAATTAACTAAATGACATATTCGACATGTGATTGGTTTGGATTATATAGATAATAAAATACATAAATTACCCTAAAATTTAGACGCTCTCTCTAACAGTGATCAATTGAGGAAACCTTTGACAAAAGTAAATAAATTATTTATCGTAATGCGTGACCTTTTTTCTGTTTTCCCTCTATTTTATTTTCATTGTTTGCTGTTCGTACGAAGATTATGGTGTTTTTCTTTCAGATAATTGCAAATATTTACTATTTATATTTTATAATCTAAAATAGACTGAATGTTAGATTCCAGGATATGTACGAGGAATTACGATGGAAAAATTGTGACGAAATTAAAAATTTAAGAAAAAGATGGATCATAACGAGGAGGGTTTTAACACAATCAGCAGTAGCGCAATTTAAAATACTTCTATGATAGATGTTATTATACGGAATGAATAGAAACAAAATGAAAACACAACAGAAAAAATCAAACACAACAATTCATTAAAAGTAGAATAGTTCTAAGTAAAATGATTTTCTGCTTTTTGATAAATTCATAATGTCAAATCACAACACTGAGAATGATGTTCCAAAAAATATAGAAAATTCGATGATAATAATATATTGAATCGAAAAAGATTTTGTAAAACAAATATTTAAAATAATAATTTTGATTCGTGTTGTCGATTTGTTTATTAATAGCTTAATACAAAAGCTTTTGTAAGCTTTAATAGCTAATTAAGAACAAGTTAAGATATGGCTTTTATCAAAGCTCTGTTTTTCTTAAACCAAGCTTAGTTACAATCTTGTGTTATATAAGTCGTATATATAAAGCAAAAGCTTTTTTAAATTATCCTTTATGTTTTTATTTATTATTCTTATTATTGTTGATTTTTTCAACGTAATAATAAAGACAAGCCTTCTGTTTAAGAATTTCGAGAGTCTAAGCTATGATTTGGAGGATATGTTTAGAATGCTTGGCTATGAAATTTAATATTTCAGTTATGTTTAATAATTATTCGTTTATAGCGAAAGCTTATCCAATTCAATACAAACTAAATTATTTTAAGCGAAACAATTTTTTTCAAAAAGTATGTCTTTGATTTTTTAAATAAATTTCTTCAATGATCTAACCTGATTACATTAAATTACATTTCTTAAACAATTCATTCTTATGCCACTGGTGGTCTTTAGAAAACATATCATAAACCTTTCCGCTCATGGATCTACAAAATCTACGTTTATTGGACTAATGCCCCTATATTAACAATGTGAATTTATATACCCGATATCCCTTTCAAAAATTCAAATTAATTTCTTGAAAACCTACCCTGAACACATTGAAATGCATTTCCCCGAAAAGCCTTACAAAGAAATGTTTAAATATTTTTAGCTTATAATAAATGTATCTAAAAAAAACTACGCCATTGGGACTGATGACTTTTAAAATAAACAACATACATACAAAATTAGTGTTTATGGGTCTAACGGCTCTTTGTATGACAACGTATTTGCCCGTTTGGCCTTGAACTTAATTATTGCCCTAATGGTCTTTGAACTTAATTTCTTTAAAGGTCTACGCTTATTGATCTGATTTATCATGAAATAATTTTCAAGGCTTATGGTAAATAAATACAGATTCCACACCCAATGCCATTGAAATTAATATTTGAAAAAATGTACCGGATGGTAAAACTTTTGCTTTATACGAATAATAAGCAAAAAAATAAAAACATATATCTTCTTCGATTCAAATACGCTGATTAAATTCAAATGAGAACTACGGTGTATTATATTGAGAGATATAGGGTTGTGAATGTAAGTGTGTATTTTTTGGAATTAAATGATTGGAAACAAATAATTTCATTACGATGTAGTAGAATCATAACAAGAAACAACACGCATTTCTTTTATCAACGTAAACGAATTATTAAGTTTTTGTATTTTTGCTTTTCATAGTTTATTTTTTTATATTTTTGTTTTTCAGTTTAATAGATTTGTTAACAGGCTCAAACGCACTAGAAAATCTAAACTACCTGGTGGTGGTTGTGATATTGATAGCTCATGAAATCAATATCTCACAAAGTTCAAGTTAATTCCAAAAACTGTTTAAATAAAGGTTTTAAAAACCAATAATTCAAGCTTATATCTATAATGGACCTTGAAACAAATGTCTTGAACAATCTTAATTTATTAAAAATCAAACCTCGGAGTTCTGATAACATCTGAAATTCGTTTCTTAAACAGTATACTTAGCACAAATTTTGAAATAAATATCATAAAAAATCTATAGACTTTGAAATATTTCCTTAATCCAGCCTTATAGTACTGATGGACCTTGAAAAAAAAAATCTTTAAAAATCCATGCTTTTAGTTCTGATGGACCTTTAAAAAAAATCAATCAAAATCCACGATTTTAGTTCTGATGGAAATAAAATTCTTTAAAAAACACGGTTATAACTCAAATGGGCCTTAAAATAAATTTCACAAAAAATCATGATTTTTGTTCAGATGGACCTTGAAATAAATTACTGTAAAAATTTACTCTTATAGCTCAGATGGTCCTTGCATAAATTACTTTAAAAATCCTCGCTTATTGCTTAGATGGACCTAGAAATAAATATTTTTAAAAATTCTCATATATTGCTAAGATGGACCTTGAAGTGAATTATTTTAAAAATCCTCATATATTGCTCAGATGGACCTTGAAATAAATTTCACAAAAAATCCACGATTTTTATTAAAATGGGCCTTGAAATTAATATTTTAAAATTGACATGGAATAACCCATAGATCCACTCCGTCGTTTAATTAAAAAATAAAAAACTTTTTAAGGAAAATTGTGAAAGGATGCACTTTATAATGGATTCGTTTTGGGTAATGAATGAAACTTGAGGTGAATGGAACTGTTTGTTATTGGTGAAAGATATATATAAATCGGTATTAGTTGCGGAAAAAAGTAGAAGTAGTGGTGATTTACCGATTGTGAAATAGGGTATTAATGATCGGGTTTTGTGGTGAAGAATAGATAGATATCTTAACTGACTGGATTTGTTGTTGTTTTATGCTCTACATTACCAAAGAACCAAACAAAATCAAAGGGTAACAGACTAATGTCGAAAGAAATTTACTTTAATTCCAAAAACGAAAACAAAGAAATTAACAGTCGAAGAAAGTAAAGAAATGAAGATGTTTTGGTGCTAAAATATAATTATTAAAAAAATTCAATATTTTTAGAGAATGGGGAAAGGGGAGTAATAAATTATAATTATATAAAAAGCATTTGTTATGGAAAACAATTGTAATGAAAAATTTTTGTTACAAATATATATTTGGTTTGCAAATCGAAAATAATTGTTGACAAAACAAAATGGGAGATATATAGAACAGAGGACAAACAAAAACAAAACCAAATGAACTCCATGAGATATTTTAAAGATAAGTTTAAGAAACAAGTGATGATATTTATGTATGATGGCTGGTATTTTTTACAAATGTATCGGAAATAAGTATATATGCAAAATAAGTATTTTTTAGGATTGAATTTTAATTGGAATTAAATATAAAAATGAATCATGTTAGTAATGATTTTGAAATGTTCTGTATTTTATTTTTTGAGTTTTTTTTCATTTTTTAGTTGAATTATTTTGGGTTTTTTGTTTTTGTTTTGGTTTTTCTTAATTAAGTTTTGTTTATTTTAGACTACCTCTTTCCGTGTTCTCTTTTTAGTTCGCCGCCATATTTATTGCCACTACCAACAAGTTCAATAATTTCCGGTATACTGCTGGCAAACATTGCCTAGAATATTCGATTTGATTTCATTCGTTTATGATATTCAAATTAAAAATGTTGTTGTCGTAAAAAAATTGTAAAATATTTTATAAAAAATGGTTGTTATTTTGTTTTAATAAGAGCGCAGAAAAAAACGAAACGAAAAATGTTAATTTAATACACATAAGGGATTTTTTGGTTATAAATATAGATATCCCACACATATTTTGGTTTCTCATTTCTGCTCTGTTAAATGTTTTAGTTATAAAAATTATATAAAAATATAAATTAAATATCTATTGACTGATCGGTTTAAACCGATCTTTGTTATCCAGCACCATTCGTATATATATAAATCGTTTGCAAAATCTAGCTGAAAGCTTCGATGAACCTTGTTTTTTAAGGATATCCAGCAACCATATAAATCTTTTCAAACGGAATTCTAAGGAATAAGCATGGATATAATCGGATCTAGCTGAAAGCTTCGATGAACATTGTTTTTTAAGGATGGATCTGGAAAATAAATTACTTGAAATAAATTACTTTAAAAATCCACGCTATAGCTCAGATGGACCTTGAAATAAATTACTTTAAAAATCCACGCTTATAACTCTGATGGACCTTGAAATAAATTACTTTAAAAATCCACGCTTATAGCTTAGATGAACCTTGAAACAAATTACTTTAAAAATCCACGATTATAACTCAGATGGAACTTGAAATAAATGTCTTAAAAATCCGCGCTTTTAGCTCAAATGGACTTTGAAATAAATTATTTTAAAAATCCACGTTTATCGTTCACACGGACTTTGAAATAAAACCGCACATAAAGGTCAAATGAACCTACAAAAATTGTCCATGGTGTTGGATATATACTTAAATAAGAACAAATTCTGTATTTAAAAAAAATTATTTATAAATTTCTCAAAAAGCATACAGTGGCTCAAAGCTTATTTAACGTTGTGAGTAATTTTAACTAAAAACTTGGATATGGATAATGTTTAAAAGGACTTTACGTGTACACACCGAAACTAATCCCATCAGGATAATAGGATCTTTCAAGAAATTTAACTCATAGCCAACATAAAATAATCTATGAGCCACAGTGCTTGTATATTTTCTCAACATTCCTATCTTTATATAATGGTATTATATTTTATTTTGTTAATTAGCACATTTTTGCTCTCAAGATGTACAAAATAAAGTCGGGAACTCATTTCTTATGTTAAGCTGTTAACACACATATGCAGCCGCCAGCATTTCATGCAAATTAATTAAAGAAACAAATTGTGAATGTCCTCGTAACACATGAGATATGAAATCCTAAAATTTTGAATTTCCAATTTTAAAAAAAAAAACTTTGCTGGACTTGGTAGATATTTATAAAGAGGCGGAATAGGGGAATTTTTCTATGAAATCGACGGATTTTTTTTCGAATAAGGTCAACGCAAATTTCATAAAAATAATTACATGACTGTTTTTCTTTTCTTAATTTTATTTTCAAGGATGTGGAAACATGCAGAATTAAAAAAAAGAAAGTATGTCAAACTCGGGGGGTTTTGGGTCTATACTGGCAGTGATAACAACGATGTAATGATGAAAATATACTATATATGAAGAAAAACTAAAAAATTAAAATTTCTTAAAAAATATAATTTTGGTCTGGTATTCAATGATTATAAAATAAATGCTGTATAAATTTTAAATAACAAAAATTAAGGAAAAACAAATTTATAAAATAAAATAAATAATGGGTGCATTGAAAAAACAATTTTTTTTCTTTCGTTAAAATCTATGGCAGTTCAAAGTGATAGAAGAAGATAGAAATGTGATAGAAATTAAATTTGAAATATTTTATTTGAAAACAAATTGCAAATGATTTAAATAGAATTGTGAAGACCCTAGTTATTTTAATAATAAAAAGTATTTAATCATCAACAACTATAAATATTGGCAGCAAAAAAACTCTAAAATCTAATAAGAATTTGTTTGTTAATAAATTTATATAATTGTTTGTATGGTTCTGGAAAGAAAAACTCTCTACTTTCATTCACACAATCGAATATATATGGTTAAGTTATTTTTTATTTATAGAATTTGGTGAAATTGTAATTCACATAACCTAAAAAAAGAACGAACAGCAGTTTTGTTTCATTGCAACCTAACCTCAATTGTTTTTTTGGCTTTAACCTAAAAAATACTTATAGTTAATAAATTAAATTACGCATTTCCTAATTGGCAGCAGCTTTGTCACAGAAACCTTTCTCTTTACTTATAAAATATTTCAATATATATTTTTCCTTATAATATAAATATTATTTTTTTAATATAAAATATATATATTTTTAATATACCAAAACAAAATAAATATGCCAACTTACCAAACCAACGAGCAGAAAGAACACCAGGAATGTTCTTCCCAATACAGTCTCACAGTAAACATCACCATACCCTACTGTTGACATGGTAACAATTAGAAAATAGACACAGGTCCAATAGGATAAACGGTGTGCATTATTAAAATCCAGCGGATCGCCAGAATTTTCCAGCTAAATTTTAAGTAAATGCAAGAATTGTTGTTGGTTTTTGTATTCTCTTTTCAAATCAATTAACATTTCTATGAATCACATACAGTGGAAGACAGCGTAGCTGTGTCTTCCAAAATATATCTATTTTTTATACTATTGGACATTACAAATGAAAAAAGAGTGCTGAAGCTATGGGACATTTTGAATTTTGTTGCTTAAGGAAAAATGTGCATTAGGTTCTGGCTTAGTCAAGCAAAATTGAAAATGTCCAACTTCGAAAATAAAAATATGGTAAAATTATGTTCATTACATAAAAAAAACTGGGAACATGTAAAGGATACAAATATTTTTGGAATTTAATAAAATAGTAGTCACATGGTGGACCTATACCACTACAAATCCAATAAGTGATTGACAAAAGGGAGACTTCGTAATTAAAACTGAAAATGGCTTAAAATATGCGAAAATATCAATGTTTAAAACGTGCCATATTATGTATGCAAAAGTTTCATCGAAATAATGAAATAGTTTCATTGCATTAATGAAATAGATTCATATCACTAACGAATTTGTTTCCTTACATCAATGACATTATTTCATAGCATTGATGAACATATTCATACATTTCACTGTAGTGAAAATTATGAACTTTTCTTTCATTTTATGTATTACGTTTCATTATTTTAACGTAAAACTTCATTAAAAGGGAGACTTCGTAATTAAAACTGAAAATTTCTTAAAATATGCGAAAATATCAATGTTTAAAACGTGCCAAATTATGTATGCAAAAGTTTCATCGAAATAATGAAATAGTTTCATTGCATTAATGAAATAGATTCATATCACTAACGAATTTGTTTCCTTACATCAATGACATTATTTCATAGCATTGATGAACATATTCATACATTTCACTGTAGTAAAAATTGTGAACTTTTCTTTTCATTTTATGTATTACGTTTCATTATTTTAACGTAAAACTTCATTAATATTATGAAACATTTTCTTAAGGCATACTTAAATTTGTCACAATTGTCATTTGAATATAAAAGGTTGTAGAAGCGCAATCTAAGGTTAGAGAAAATGTATATAATTAAATAATGGAAATCGTTCATTGAATTAATGAAATAGCTTAATTTCATTTATTACAATTTTTAGTAGCGTTTATGAACATATTCATTACATAATTTTAATGAAATGAGATTTCACTTTGTCTTACATGCGTAATGCTAATCGGATATTAATCAGACGAATGGCCGAAAAACACAGATAATGTAAACTGTGAACTGGAGCTGACTCCATCCGTAACCAACCTGGTTCAAAGGAACTATTCCGCAAAGGAACGATGGGCACTAGTCCCGGCTAATTTGTTCATCTTATTCCTTTTGCTCCGGTCGCTTCTTTTTGTTGTCGTTCACCTAGTTTCTTTTGATCTAATCGTCCAGCTATATCTTCACGCTACAATGGACGTGTAACAATGAACGATTCAACTGAAAGGAACTATGGAAATAAATGAATGACCTAGTTCCTTTTGCGTAGCGAACAGAAAAATAGCGATTAGCAGAATGCACAGGTAATGTACACTGTGGGATGGAGTTGGCTCCTACCAACGTGGTTCAATAGATCTATTCCGCAAAAGAAACGATAGGTACTAGGACCGGCTTTTTGTTAATCTAGTTCCTTTTGCCACTTTTGGTCTAATCGTTCATATAGATTTTCAAAAATAGGGAACCGCTTCTCCTGTAAAACCACGTCTATGCGTGAAGCCATCTAGTTTCTTTCGATCTTATGGTGCATCACGTTACAACGGACGCTTAGCAATGCACAATTGAACTGAAAGCAACAATGGAACTAAATTAATGACATAGTTTCTTATCGGAGTGAATAGAAAAAAAGCGAGTCGCTTCATGAGCGGTATTTCCCAACTCAACTATAAACCCGCTTCTATGTGTGAAGCCTTTGACTGAGTCAAGGACTAACACGCATAAAACGACCGAATTTGATGAAGATAAATGTAATACTTCATAAAGAAGTTTGGGCAATATTTTTGTTTTCAAATCCACCGATTACTCGACAACTATATTCTGCTCCGGTCCTCTCTTGACTGTTTTACAACATGAAAATAAAGGATCGTATAAGATTTCCGGACAGAATCTGCCGGATTAGCGGCAGAAAAACGACAAGTATAAAAGGTATGACTGGTAGAACTTTTAAAGGTGCATTTGTCTTCTTTGCTGGGGATATCGAGCTCACAAGATTATTAGAGATCGCTTGCGGGGAATTTGCTGTCTGGACCAGTTATTTCCGAAATAGGAAGTCATGTGTCGTGGAATTCAGTGGATCGGTCTGGAGGGATGTATAGCATGGTTGCCCACAGCGGTCTATTTATGGTTCACGTATTTTGAACCTGTTGATATTTTCTCTTTTTCTACGACCTAGCTGCGACCTTCAAAGTTTGTGCGTATGCGGATGACTTGTTCATCATGATTGATGAGGATTTTCGACTTGAACTTGCAAACAAGATTGTATCTGCCATCTGTTGAAATTACTCCGTCTAAAATGGATAACACTAAATAGAAATTGCAGCAGATAGTGCCATTATATGGCAACACCATATAAGCAAGGACCCCAACCGCTGCAAAAATGCTAGGAGGCATTGTTTCTAGGCAACTTTAGATGGCACATCAATAAGTGGTCACGTACAGGAGGAAAAATAAGCTCCATTTTCGGTAATTTAAAGGTTTTAGACACAAGTGGTTATAAATAAGAAATTCAGGTTCTTGGAAGAATCGACTTCTGGCCAGTAAAAAAAATCGAAACATCTAAAAGTCGACTTTTGCGCTCGACTACGTTTCTCTAACTTGCGCATATTCTGAACAATTTTTTTAATATCTTGCACCATTTTTAATATTGTAGTGGTAGTAGGCGCATTTCCCAACCGACGTAGATATAATCAGTTATTATGGGGATTCAGAGGATTAAAAACCCTTTCACGGAATATTATGATATTCCCATGGTTCCACATAGAATAAAAAAATTGCTAATATTGGGCTATGTCTAAAGCCCCTATGTAAGTGTGAGAACAAACCTAATGACGTTTTTGAATATTTATATTCCTTTTATTTTGAACTACTATGGGGTAATGACAGGACATAAACTATGATCATTTTCAATTATATTTTTTTACAATTTATATATTTAATGGTATCATTTATGTATAAACAAAATATGTTCCCAGTTTTTTTTTTAATGAACACTAACTTTACAGGAGTAGTAAAATAAAAACATATTCAATATTATATAGTTTAATAATTATTATTTATTGTTGTACATACCAGATGTATAATACCCGCTGCTGTTAACCATACCGATATAAAAATCGACACCAATTGGGCCAGGCGTATTGAACTGGATGTTTTTAAAACATTTAAATATTGCAATATATCCGGTACAGTCATAAGACGCAATGCTCGAAGAAATCGAAGACCTGCATGTGGTGTTCAGTTTGTTTTTGTTTCATTGTCAAGTGTAATTATTTTTTGTTTCGTTTTGTATTTGTATTGGTGTTGGAGTGAGCGTCAGTGTATTGGTCAGTATTACGTTGTTGTTTTTTTGTTGCAGTGTCGGTGTTCGGTGATTTTTAGTTTAATTGTGAAAAGCATTATCATTACAATCATGCATTTCGATCAAGCAGACAAATTCGATATTTGTTTTTGTTTTTTTTCATTGCGTTTGGTGGGTGGGTTGGATCATCAAAATCAAAAAGGAAGATAATATATATAAAAAATAAGAAAAAAAGAACAAGAAATAAAATAAGGAATTAAAAAAACAAGAAGAAGAAAATTTTGTGTTAATATTTTCCGGATTCCGCAAAGTAGTAGTTGACGAATAAGAAGTAGAAGTATTTAGAAGACAGATAGAGAGATATATATTTGGTGAAAAGAGTTGAAAATTCTTATATATATGTAAATGACAGAACAGACACACACACACAGACACAGACATACTGACACATATTTATGTCTTCTTCTTCTTCTGAATTCACACAAACACAAACAAAGGAACGAACGAAAATTTTGAAATCTTACCGATCCATGTTCGATCTAAATATATTGATACAAAGGACGGGGGTATTGTAAAATAATCTACAAAACTGTACATTTCTAACATAAACCAAAGTTTATCGGACGCCGCTATGAACTGAAATATATGAAGAAGAAAAACAAGAATTTGTTGTAAATTAAAAAATTAAAATTTGTCGATATTTTTCGGCATCATATTGACCAGTTATTACTGTTATTGTTGTTTTAAATACTATACACATTGTTTTAATAATAAAAATTAATAATTGTTAAAACATAAATATAAGTAGCATTGTGTTTTTTAAAAAGTTTGTAAAAAAAATATTGTTTTGAGACATTTTTGTAAATAGGGATATTGAACAATAAAAACATTTAATTATTATGAAAAAATATTCCCAGAAAGGAAGTGATTTTGTATAAATCCTTCCCAAAAATGTCTCAACACAATTAATATTAAATATATAAAAATAACCAACAAAATATTATAATTAAAAATATATATAATAAAATAAAAATATACAGAATAAAATAAATCATTATCCAATTAATAAACCAATTATCAGCAACTTACTCGTATAAAAAAGTAAACCATGAAAAATATATTGAATGCAAGATCGATTTGTTGAGTAATGTTAGTACTCCATGGCTGACATCTTTCGACTTCTTCGTTAGATGCATCAACAAAGTATATAATGAGCGAAGCAATACTAAGTATAAATACAAGAACGACCTGTAAAAAGAAATTGAGAAAACAAAATTAAAGTACAATTTTCAAAATTGTTTATATTCGATATAGAGATGTTAGGGAAATCCAATATGTCCGAAATATTGAGATTTTTATTTATAAAAGACAATCAAGACAAATAAAACTGGTACAAAATTCGGCTTTCTTAGCTTAAAGTCCGGTTCAACTATTCAAAGTTCCGAGCATGTAAGATCTTTTATGGTATATATTTCAATTGGATCCGACAGTTTTTCCGTACCCACAATTTAAACGACATTTATTAATATAAAAGATTTTCTAAGCAAGTATCGGGTAATAGTAGAAAATGGCAATGAAAACATACGAATGTCGATTTCTTATATTTGAGGACCCTTTCTAAAATCATATGGCCGACATGTTTGTAGAATATATGATTTTTTGTTACAAGGACGAGTTGTAAAGAAAAAAATGGCGGAGGTTCGAAAGGAGAACAGAAATAATCCTCAAGGTATTGTAATCCGTGTGTGCCGTGTCATGGTGGATCTAATCGTAATGTTGACATACAGGGTTTGCGTACTAGCTGTCTGGACTATTTATTTCCGAGATAGGAAGTCATGTGTCGTAGGATTCAACGGTCTGACATGGTGGATCTAAGCATAAGATTGACAAGCACCTCTGAATGGAGGGAAAGCGTAGGGCTTTTCCTGTGAATGTTCTCTCCGGATTCGGAGACATCATAATATCCTACACTTGTTGATGGTTTAGGAGATCTCCCGGGTATGGATCGTATACAAGTTGCGAACAAAATTTGTCAGATAAGAAGTAAAGAAACGACATATATGGTTGGTAGATATGTTATGTCTATGGGACAACGTGCTCACAAGGTTACAGAAATCGGTTGCAGGGCATTTTGCTTTATGGAGTAGTTATTTCCTGTTATTAGTATTATGATTATGATAATATATTTATTTCATGCAATGGAGCAGTCTAGTATGATGGGCCTTAGCGTAAGATTAGCCTACATGGGTTGCGTGCCAACTCTACGACTAACACATCGGTGTGTTGGGAGATTATAGGGCTTTTCTGGATGTGTTCCTGATTCGAATACTCCATTATTGCCTCCACTTGTTGATGAATTAAAAACGAGAGATATGGATGGTATGACTGGTAGAAATTTTAAGGGAGCATTTAATTATTTTTATTGAATAGCGTCCTCACAAGGTTGTTAGAGATCTATTACAGGTGTTTGCTGCCAGGACTAATTACTTCCGATATAGGAAGTTATGTGTCGTAGTACCCATCGGTCTGACATGGTGGGTCTAAGCGTAAGATTGAACTCTACGACAACTACCTCGGGGTGGGGGAAGCGTATGACTTTTCCGGGGAATGTTCTCTCCGGATTGGGAGACTTCATAATTGTCTACACTTGTTGATAAATTAGGGGTGGGCTCCTGGTTTGTATCGTATAGAAGTTTTCCTGGAAATGTTCTCCCCGGATTCGGAGACTACATAATTTCCTTCTCTTATGAATTGCAAAAGCCTCCTGGTTTGGCTATGCATATAGTGCAGTCCTGAAATGGCCAGAGGTGGTGCTAATGTTGCTGAAAGTTAGTTTGGCGCATAACCGTCATCCCTTCCTTCGAGCTGGTAAGCGTGGTGCATACGATATATGGTGACTGTTTATTGACTATACAAATTATGGTTCACCTTAATTAAGGAGAGAGTTCGTAAAAACGATGTTAAGTTCGTCCCAGCCGAACTTTTTAAATCCTCCACCATGAAGATGGCATTCAAAATATCTAAATTTAATAGTGGCTCCTAGGAGAAAACTCATGTTATCATATGACCTTCAGCATACCGAAAAAGACGTTAGGAAAATGTGATTTACATCTTCAAATACCTAATAGTGGGGCTACCGTTATATGGGGCTGCTCTAAAACTGCGATCGATGTTGAAAATTGTTGGTTGTAAAATTTGACAGCCAATGACAACCAAAATTGGCTGTAATTTGGACATCATTGGCTGTTACAGTATCGGAACCATAAACATCATCATTCTTTGTCAAAGAAAAACTGTAAGACCCTCTAACTCACAACTGAATGCACCAAACAAAATACAGCTATATATATATATATATATATATATATATATATCTGTTAAATCTGTTATTTTTTTTATCGATACTTTACGAGAAATCTATCAATAGAGTTATTTGCCGATAAAATAATAGATTTATTTTTTCCCAACCTAATACAATTTATTTATCAAACCTCGTATTCGCATTCACATTATTATGTTAGAAATTTTTATAGCAGTCCTCACACCCATGTTGAATTTGACAAATGCGTATTGAATTTAGTTCTTCTATGTAAAAAAATTTTTATTATCGATTTTGATGTTTGCAAGTATTTTCCATTTCATTTATTAGTTAAATTGATAATTGCCTTGTAATGTAATCGTTTAACGAAATTTGTGTAACTAACTTCTAACAAGTGGGATTCCCTCAATTTTCTCTGTGTTGCAATAAAAACATTCACTCAATCAATTTGTATAAAATTTTCAATATATGTAGTTTACATGGATGTAGTTATTTTACATCCACTTGCAGTATCTCTCTAACTTATATAAAGATTAGAAAAATTAGTTGGATACAAGTACTACAAGTAGTTAAAGTTGTTGGTGCTGTTGTTACTAGTTGTATCCAGCAATTTATCGTTACTTTAAAACATTTATTGATTTTTATTAACGTTGTCCCCCGACGTTGTCACCATTGGCCAATTGAATGAGCCCCCCTGCCCATGTCACCATGAGACAGTACTCCCTGCCTTGTCTTTCAATGTCTACTAACTACTGTCGTTGCTAACTTTAATTTTGTTCGATTCTTATTTTATTTTATAGGTCATCCATTTATCTATCGTTTTCTCATTTATTCGTTCGTTTGTCAGCTCTCTTTGCTTTCGTACGTTCCATTCCCAAGTTAATGTGATTGTACGACAACTATCTAATGGTTGGTTACTGCCGAGATTGCAGCGCATTCTATTGCCGTCTGTCGTCGTTACAGTTATAGTCCTTGTTTACGATGGCAGTTTGTTTGTCGCTTCGATGATGACTTGTAGTTTGGAGAAACCCCATGGTAAACGATGAAGGTGGTGGTGCTTGCGAAGCTAGAATATTCTCTATTTTGTCTGCTGAGTCTATTTTTTAGTCAATCGATAAATTACAGTAGCAATGAAAGCAAAGTAATGGCGATGGTGCAGAAGCAGAACTCAAAAAAAAAAGACATATGGAAAAATTGCTACATAACATAATGACGTTGTTTGCGCCCTTTTCAAATATTGCTTTCGATTTTTTGTTGGAGTCATTAAATTGAGGCAGCCAGAAAAAACTGATGCCGCCACTGATAGTAAAACATTGTTAGTAATTTCTAAACGGAGAATCGATTTGCAATACGATAATTTTCAAATAAGAGTTTTTTAAAAAATAAGTGCAAAAACATATTTTGAAAAGCTCAGATCAGAAAATAATAAAAAAAAACTGTCCCTTGAGATCAGGAGATAGTTGAAATATTCCTATAAAATTTACGTTTTCAGATCCTGAGATCAGGAGAACTCTAAGATCATGAGATAATGGAAATATTCCTATAAAATTTTCGCCTTGAGATCTAAAAATTAATTGAAAACTATTCCTTCAAAAATCTTATTATTGAAAAATATTCCTTTCTACACCTTGAGAGTCTACACCTTGAAATTCGAAATGAGTGCATATACAACATGTGCTTAAGGCCTCTTTGGATCAAATCTGTTTCAGACAATTAGTAGTGCGGACGACTACTTTCGACGGGAGTAACCGATTTCAAATTTGCACATCGTAATATTTCTCCAAACTTAAATCAAGTTCGAAGATGGGGAATATCGCTCTAATACCTCCAAAACAAAATGCTGAAATTTAGTTTTGTAAAATAATGTGAACGGACTATTTGATTTGAACCAAACTTTCCTTGGAAGAGTGACATTTCGCAGCAAAAAAAAAATTATTTTGCTGTTTTTTGTTTGGTGAATTCAGTTGTGAGTTAAAGGGTGTTAAAAATGGAAGCGAAAATGTCGATAAAATCGGAGAAATGGTCGAAGTTGACCATCATATTAGCAGTCGTAACATCGCCCAGGACCTAAAAATCTACCATAAAATGGTTTAAAACCTTTTACAATTGCGCAGAAACAGCCAGAATTAACCAACAGGAGAGGTGTCAGTTCCACCAGGACAACGTTAGGCTACACAACTTCGGGAGCTTCGGGGCGTACATCGCAATATTTTTTTCAGAAGTCAAGTTCGAAGATGGGATCCACGGTATGCTCTTTCTAGTGTCTCCCACACAATGCATTATTTCATACTTTATAAACCTAATCTTGAAACTCCAATTTTATATTAATATTCAAATAATTTTGAAATTGTATTTATTTTAAAAGAGCCAGCAATACGAAACAAGATATAGCAAAAAGAAATAAGGTATGCAATTTTTATAAATCCGTCGTCAGCGCCATCTGTTGATGGGCATGCTTTAAATTATGTAAATCAATTTTTAAGTCCAAGGGAATAACTATTGAACAGATAATCGATAATATGAAATGTTAAATTTTAGACATTTAATTACAAATCACCCTGTATTGTTGCACAACTCTCTATGTGTATGTAAATGTGAAAAGCTCTCTGACATTTTTCAATAAATAGACATTATTGTCTCTGGTCATTACGGTGTTACTAATTAACTTGCTACTTTGGGGGCAGAGAGAGCGGAGGGTTAATTTACATCCTTGCCAGAGCCAGCCATTATTATTTGTAACCAATTGATGAGAGACACAACAAAGGCATTAATTAAATGTCAACTCCATGGCCGTTGACTAATACCAATTTAATGATGAAAAACAACTCTGTAATGCTGTAATTGTAATCAGGTGGTGTCCTTCGATTGCTGTGCAACTAATGTGTGAGTTCCCTTAAAGGTAGCTGGTAAATTGACAGTAGGACAACAGTCTGAAAAGTATCATTATTAATCTGATACTGAATAAAATTTAAATAAAACTAATAAAAATCATGTACAGCATGGGTCAAAAGTTATAGAAAAACAAATGAGGTTGTAATTTTGTCTAATCGATTTTTAGATCAACACATTCAATAGATGGCGCTTAAGACAAGTGTTTGTCAGTGCTTCCAAATTTACATAAAATCATCGGTGTTTTAGATTCTTCATATATTTTAAATTCGTAACGATACACTGATTTTAATATAACTGAGCACTGATTTTAATATAAAACAATTCATTGCAATTTGTTGTAATTAAATTCGATACAGAAAACCCCAATGACGTTAACACTCCAGCATTATCGAAAACAAATTAGAATTTGATGGAAACCCAAACAATATAGATAAAAGTGTACGCCCGTTGTCACTAAGACTCCCGATAAATAGCTGGGCAATATATTACCTCAAGTTGTTTCACTTTTCGTTCCATTTAATATTTCTATCTCCATCACCATTCAGTTGTGAAATTACTGTCACTTGGCCGTTTGGGGGAATCACAATCATAGAAACCCAACAAAAAAAATTTAACTTTACAAATCCCAAATTGACATTGAAAAGACGAAAAACTGTCGTTGATTGACAGGAAAATCCAACCGCCAATAGAATATTCGCGATAATAATGACAGCTGTTTTTCGTTACGATACGAGTATCATTCAATAGAGTCGTCCGTCAGTGCAGGTTGTCTGTCAATGGGAAAACAAAGATAAAACCCCCACTGATATAAGTAATGTTTGGCGTCTATTTGTCCATCCATCCGTCTACCGAGTGTTTATTATAGACAAGTTCACAGTGACTAAACATTGTTTTGAAAAATTTTTTATAGTGTCGTGGTGTATATATGAAGAATTTATGGTCTGCTAGGGGGCCACCACTAACTTTCAAACGATATGTTTTGTTTTTGAAAATTATATATATATTTTTTTAATCATAGGTGGTGTGGCGCCTGCCAACGATATTTACTTATAATTTAAATATCACGTGCTATTGCCAAAGTTATCTTGAAATAAATTTGCAATATTTTAGTACTGTGTGAAAATATATTTTTATAGTCTTAAAAGTCAATATGATAGCGACTGATATAAAAATGTAGCCTCAATTCGGCTATTAGTGCATTATACCTAGATTTTTAAGAAAAATAAAAAGTATCATTTAAAATTGGCACAGGTCATAATTCAGAGATCTATGCAAAATGAGCCCTCAATAAAACAACAGTGGACCATGTGGATCTTTGTAGACGCGCCAAATCAAACGAAAATTTTTTGCAGAAGATTCACATCGATTCAAATGGTCGTCTATTTCATTGGCGAAAATTAATTTCAGAGTTCTCGACTTAATCTCAAAGAAAAAAACATGAGCGTGCGTTTCTTATCAATTTTGATTGTGTTGCAAAGGCAAAGCATTTTTGCCAAAGACCCCTAAGATTGGTCTACTCTTGCTGATATCTCCCCCGCAAAGGGTCAACACTTAATATTTATATTTTTAACATCAAGATCAGCGAAATTGTGCAGTTTATGAGACGAAGGAGAATAATGGTCAGTGCGATCCAGGAAACTAAGCTAATGGAGAACTGTAGCTTACAGCGTTGCGATGGTTACAACGTTGTGGGGAATGATCGTACCAGAAGCGGAGGTGGGGCACTTGTATTCTTAAACCTTTCTGTCTAGTGCAGACCTATCTCGCTTGAGCTAGACTCTATATTGAATGTAAGGGAGTAGCAGTCAAGTGTAGAACTGCCGAGGTAGAGGTGTTACATGTTTATATATAGCCGATGAATAGCTGTACGCCGAGTTATTTACCAGACGCTTTTAGAAGGTAATAACCGCCTGGTACTATGGGATTTCAATGGCATTCCGTCCTAGGTAATGGCCAGAGGTGTACACCGTTGGCCGAGCAAATTGATAGTTCAACTTTTGCATGGTTAATACGGATAAGAGACATCACGATTGTGGCACGGGTCTAATAAAGGGCAAAACCTGGTAACCTGTCATTTCACTCTACTCAAACCGTCCTCTCATCGTCTGCGTCGACAGGCCATCCGACTTCATAACCTCTGAACGCCGTAATTTCCTTAAAAACGGGAAATCTGATTGGCCTGATTTCATAGAGTTTGTCAATTGCCGCTTCCCTCAGATCCTCGGGTACCCGAAAACCATCGCTATTGCTGCCGCTCGCTTCATAACTGCTGATCGAATACCTAAACTTCCCAGCAGAGGCAGCAGTATTGGCAATGAACAAGATGAGCTCCGTCGTACGACACCTGAAGACCCAAATGTTGAGGTAACCTACCCTTGAATTCGACAGACTAGTATACGAGCACAATAGGAAAATGTGGTTCGATACCGTGAACCATGCCAAGCAGTTCGAGGATATAGAGAAGACAAACCTCCAACCACGTTTGGAACGTTGGATAATATGTGTGGACGCAAGTCGTATGTGGAATTCAGAAACAGGAAGTCTAAACCCCGTAGAGTGGAGCAGGGAGTTCCTCAAGGAGGGGTCATATTACCGGAACTGTTTAACCTTTACTTATCTGATATTCCACTACCGCCAGTCTGCATAGAGATCGTAATGTATGTGGATGATTGTACAATTATGGCGTCGAGTTCCACTATTGATGAAATTTTTGAGAGGATAAACTTCTATATTCGCAAATGTCTTCCATCTGAGGAATATGAAAACATCCGCTACGGAAACAACAGCCACACTATTCACCACATGGACGGCTGAAATGAAGCTCCCGCTGAACATAATGGTCAATGGAGAACTGAGTCCGACCACTAACTACCCCAAGATACAGGGAGTAATGCTCGTCAGCCTTTTCAAGTCACTGTTTTATGCGATAAGCTGAGAAGTAGGAACAAGGTCCTCAAGTCGCAGCACTTGGGGCGCTGACAAAGAAACCTTGATGATCTCCTATAAAGCAATAGGCCGGTCAGTGGTAAGTTATGCGGCGCCAGTGTGGTTTCCAAATGTAAGTGATACACAGTGAATGAATATCCAGACCTGCCAGAATGCTGCCCTGAAAACTGCAACAAGATGGTCTAGTGGACCATCTTCATAAGGCGACGAAGATCTTACCCTTCCTTAGACAAAATTATGTTGTCGATGCAGTACTAGCTTGGGTGTTATCGTCGGGAACACCGCTTTCATAGTCTTATGGGCAGAACTCCCCGTCCGAGATCTTCATGATCTAGAGATAGAGATCCAAAGATATAAACGTGAACCTCTACATCAAGAAGCCTATCTAGTAGGTCTGAATGGTATTCACACTGATGAAGTCGCATAGGCAATATCGTTTGAATACCATAATCGGAGACCACACCTCATCCATCGCACCCAGCTAAGGCGACTCACCTATCGAAGAATTCACTATGGAGACAACCCATTTGAGTTGCAACATTTTTGAATTTGAATATAGAGGAACCAGAACCAGACAATCCATAACCCATATCATGTATTTTGTTGCTACCACAAAAACAATAAGCAGTAATGAATGAAAACTAGGTTCAGATACCTTCTCCAAATAAAATCTACCGAACTTTTACATTTCATGATTAGTCCGATGTCTTTCAAATTTAAGTTATGACAATAATTTTAATAATGATTTTAATTATTGTAATGGCTTGGAATTTCAATAAAATTCCTAATATTTTGGCTCCGGTTGTATCAAATATTTAAGTAATTTACTGATGCCATCAGCACCAAAAAAATTATATATTTTCCAATGGTAAACCCATTGTTCAAATTCCACTTCATCTCTTCACACAAACTTAAAATCTATTCCTTTAAGCAAAGGCATCTTTGAAATTCCTTCCGGGTATTCTTTGAAGTGACAAAAGCAGTATTTAATCACTGCAATTAAATAAAAATAAAAAGAAAACTGCTTCTAGCAAATCCACAAACAACTACCACTCAAACGACAACAACAACAACACACACACACATCCACAGGCATATATACATGAACTGATGTGGTTATACATCAACTGATTGCCATATCAAATTACCATTGAAAAACAAAGAGCCACTGCAGTCTAAAGTAGTTCTTGAAGAAGTAGCAGGGAAAAAACGAAACTTGTTTCAAGACGACGACACTCCATTTTCAATGAAACTCTTAGTCCGAATGGTTGGGGAGCAAGTGAAATGCAATGCATATTGCCCGGCTAATACAACGACACAACGAGTACGTTAATAATTCAAAAGTGCCTATTAACCCACATTTAAATAAATACATACATAGCCTAGTCATAGCCATCGCGTATTACCAACGAAGGTAATATATATGCATGTGTGTAAACACATGACGGACAAGTGACTCTCTCACAGGTACATGTACAAACACATTCACACACATACACTCATGTTATGAACAGATGTCACTCGCCTCCAGATGGTATCCCAACGCCATGACATAATTCTCGTAACAAACCATCTGTGCACGGAAGCCATTGAGACCCCCCATTATGCAGGGTTGTGGTGGTCCCCAACAATGTTCACATGAGAACTAACTGGATGGATGACTGGTTGGTTGGTTGGTTGGCGTGCCTTGACTATGGCCACTGAACACAAAATAACTAATTGTTGAAATAGCCCCGGGCACGAGACACGCCATGGCAGAACAAAAAGAGGACAATTAACATTTTGTTTGCCAACCCATTTCTAGGCTTACAAGCTATGTTCGTCGTGTTTGGCCACCCATAAAAGGTTATAGAGTTGTTAATTTGTTTTAAACATATAGTAGTTGTTATTGTTGTTGCTGTTGCTTTTGTTTTATTGTACTTACCAATATACGACCGGTTGTTGTTTGACCCGATATAAGCTCTCCAGCCCAGTCTTTTGCTTCTGTCATAAACGTTCCCTCGAACTCCTGTTTGTTTCTGGATGCTTTCTGTTCCTTTTGCTTGGGATCGTTCGGTCCCAGCTCGGGTTCTTTGCGACAGCATATAAATGCAAATGCCCGCCATAGTAGGACGATGAGAAATCCGGCAAGAAATGTGAAAATGCTCGAGAGCAGAAAGCAATAATATTTTCGAACTTTGAGACAATCATCGACCTCGAATGGTGAACCTGTTGGATCTTCAGCCAATGATTCGACAGTGCTTTGATCACACCCCGACATCCCCTAAGAGAGAGAGGGAAAGAGAAGGAAATACACAAAATTAAAAAAAATGATTTATAATTTGATTTATGTCATTTCTGTTTGGGTGATGAAATATGAAATTAAGTGACATATTAGTTAGTAGCTTATAAACACATACGTTAGCACATACATACACATAGTTTATGACTTATGTTAGACGCACACAATTTTGTAGACTATATGTATTTTTTAATTCTAATATTTTTAGCACACACACAACATGAGTTAGTATTTTTTGGTATGGAAATATCTATTTTTTATGATTTATACGAACAAAATATTATAGGTTTTTAAATGCTTATATAGGAGCATTTAAATAAGTATATACATGTATGAATATAATGACATAAATAAATTCGACTTATAAACTACGACATTTGACTGAAAAGATACAATTGGTCGGTTTTAATTTTATTTCAACACCAAACCCGACTCATATAAGAATTAGAGAGGCAATCCTTTGACCATGATAGAAATGTTTATAAGTTATGGATTTTCGTGGGTTTTGAGTATCGGTTTTCGAATAATGGCGCCGCTGTGTTAGGCCACAAATAAAAAAGCTTATTTCGAGTTCTTAGAGTTAAAATAATTTTTTTTATGTAGAAATGTTAATGTCATATTCTTTAACCGTTTAGGCGGTAATTTGGTACTCTGGGTTCCTTAAGCGCGAAATATATTATTGCAGAAAATGTTGAATATATCCATGACATAGACATGTGTTCCTCAACACTCGATTTACGAAGTGAGCCAATTTGACTCCTTTCAAATCTGATAACTTAATACATTTAAAAGTTAAATATCATACATTAAGTTTTAGATACATAATGATATATGTGCGATGGTGAATTCCCCTTCCCCTCCATTTCAACAATTTGACTCGTACAATGATATAACTTTATGCGTTTAACTTTTGAAGCATTTGATGGGTCCTATCCGGCCAACAAAATTCAAGCTAGCAAAGCTTGAAACAAAAGGAAAAATTAAGAAAAATGCGAAATTTTAATATTTTGTGGATGAGGTACCAAAGGGAGTGGATACGTAGGACCCATTTTTGGAATTTACCATTTTTAAAGTTCTAAAAACTTTGGGAAGGTACCAAGTAGACCGATAGGCTTCATTTGCGGATATGATCTAGATTTGGTAAACATATTATATTTGTGCGAAGTTGGGGTCGAATCGGATAATCAAAAAGCTTCGTATTAAATTTACACATTTTCGAAAATGTTGAACCTTTATAAGGGGAGGTGCTACAAGAATTTGGTTTATAAATCCCATTTCCTGATTCAATGAAAGTTTAACAAAGATATTACGATGTACAGAGTTTTTTCTTAATCGGATACTCCGTTCGCATCATAAGATATTTACAACTTTACAATATTGACCCTTTGTGGGGGAGGTACCAGAAGGAGTGGGCCACAAATTGCCATTACGGAACACGGTATGGTGTTTGTAAATGATTGGATCAAAACGGATAATCCTGTCGCAGGATATTATAAATTTATTTTTAGAAAATGCGATCTTATATTATCCATCTTCGAACTTGATTTAGACCTGGAAGAAATATAACGATGTGTAATGTTTGAATCAAATCGGTAACTCCTTTCGAGAGTTATGTACACGCCAACCAGCCAGACATTTCATCCTCTAGGCTTAGTGTATAAAAGTTAGGTTTATATGTAAAAACGTTTTCTATGAATAGGAAATATTTTATTTAAATTGAATCTTTAGACAATTTGCCATACTGGACCATGTCTTCATTTTACCATACACACTTTACCATGAGATGGAGAATGAGGATGGTGAAATTGACAAATTTTTTAAAATGTTAGCCCATTTTGGCGGAGGTACTAGAAACAAACTAGTAAAACTAATTTGCATTAAATCCTTTGACCATTTTAAAAGAGAACATTATGGGCCAGAGATTCCATTTGTTGGCCATAATAAGAGCAGAGGATTTATGAAATAAATATCAAATAAAAGGACTTCGGTGACGCCGATTACAATGCAAGTTAAACGTAAAATTCAATAGAATGGATAATTTTTTTTACAAAACTGTATTTAATCGAATTATTTTTGTAGAGCTATGGCCACTGACTACAAATGTGAAATCAGTTTATAATCAAATAAATTGAATCCAAAATGACAGATAAAACATGAGAAAAAGTTAAATGTTTCATTTGATAGAAGTTTTTAATATTTAAATAGCATGAAAACGTTAGTATAATTAATTAAATTTGAAATATAGCCGATTTGGTTGAAAAACGTATCAAATATTGGGGGTTCTATCTACATGGAGTCTACCCCGAAACTTAAGACAATATTAATAGTTTTTGGTACGAAGATTTCACACATAATGAGTATTCAAATTACTAAATTACATGCAATTTGGTTGAAAAACGCCGTTATCAAATGTATCATAAGAGTATGTGCAACAAAATGAGAACCTATTGTGTAACACATGGGTTCCCATATGTGCTTATCGTGGGCACTATCAGACAGGCCGTCATATGTTAATCGAGTGTTTGAACGAATTTGGTTCATATTCTATAGACACTATATTCTCCCCCATTGGACATGAGGCGGACGGTATAAAAACGTAAATTTCTATTTATTTACCAAAAACTATTTTTTTCAATTTTAAAAAAAAATGTCCTTGCATATAATATTTTAACTTTCAAACATCCTATTTATTTTATGTGCTTTCCATTTTTATTGCTTGAATTTTTATAAATGTTTATATTACATTTTATATTTTTAATTTTTATTTTATATAGTTTTAAAGAAATAGATTTTAATTTTTTTTTTAAATGGACACCATTTTTAGAATGTTTTTTTTTAACCTTGTAAGGAAGTCGCCAAATCAATTTTCATAATTTTCTCCTCAAAATCAAACTATAATTTAATATTTTTATAGTAAGTGAGTAATTTGTTATTTTATTATTTTTTTATTTTTTTTTTTTTTTATTTTTTTAAATATTTCAAAATATTTTTTTCTCACAAATATAGCTTACTTTTGAAAATAATTTTCCCTTAAACTACAATAACTTCCGATCAATTTGTTTTCCCGAACTTATACTGACAAAGTGTTTTCTATCACTGAGAGACACTTCTGATAATTGTATATTAATTGTCGAACATCGAAAACATTTATTAATTAATAGTTAACTCTCTTCGATAGGCTGAGCGAAAGAGAAAAGTATTCTCTTTGTTTAAAAAAATGATAATACCAGTGTTGTCAGTATTATATTTTTTAGGATTTTGGGAATTATTTGAAAAAAACATTATTTTTAAAAGTATACTCGGGGTTAGTTTCAATTAAGATTTAGAAGTAGTAAAAATATACAATATGTGATCTGTATCGCATATAAAACTTGACACACTTCTTTCTAAACTTAATTCAGTAAGCTGTTTGTTTATATCCTAAATGGGACCTGCAATTTGACTTCAATATTATATGGACAGACACAGCAAGTGATTCTAAGCATATACTTCAAAGAAAGTATGGTCTATCTCTTTTGCTTTTGCATGTTACATTCATATGTACAAATACAAAATGTGTAGTATAAAGGTATACATGTTTATTTCAAGTCCGGATGATTAAAATCCGGATATATTGTATAATGGGTTCTCTATAATAACAAAAGGAACTTTTTTAAATCAAATTAAGAAGATATCTAATTTCATTTAGTTCGAAGGAGCTATAACTTCGGCAGACGTTGTTCAAGGCTCGTGAATTCTTATGCTCGAAGATCTAAAAGATCTTCTAGGCCCCATAGTGGAAATGAATAAAATTTTAAATATATACTTTCCGAGCAATTACGAATGTAGCTTAATTGTCTTTATTCTGAAACATCTGTTCTTAGTTAATTAAGAGGCAATTATTAAATGAAATGCCCAACACAATAACCATAATATCGGATAATAGTTTGTTGCATAAATAAAGAACAATAAAAACCAAAAAACAAATAGGACCACCTAAAGCGAACTAATTCGGTTTTTTTCTTTTTATGGGCAATTTATCACACCAAGTCAATCATAAAAGAACGAACTTTGTTAATTACAAATTGTTTATTTATTAATAAATTGCAACTGTTTAGTTTTTTTATGTTTATAACTTATTGGATAATAAAAATTAAATGTTATTACAAACAAATTTCTGAAGTAGGGAATGATGCATTCACTCTGGGAGAAACCCTAAATAAGTGGGAGAATGTTTGGAACAAAAAATATTCCAGGAAGTTTTTTTTTTTTTTGGCTTGAGCCTCATTAAAAAAATGTACGAACATTTCGGAATTTTACCCGAAGCCATAAAATATTGATCAAGTATCCTATTCAGGATACTTGATCAATATTTAGCGGGCCAAAGTGTATCCAAGAGGAGCCGTTTATTTTTAAATTGATACCAACAATATTGTTATATTGTTGTATGTACTAGGAAGTTCCGGACAACGCCTGTAAGTTTAGGTGATGATCCGATGTTATTTAGGGATAACATGGGCCGAAAACTTTATTTTGGTTTGTTTTTCTACACATGTTTTATTTCAGGGGTTGGCTGCTGCTGGTTCAATATGAAAATTGTCATTGCAGAAAAAAATTGTATGAGTATGTCCCTGGAGGCTATACCTAAAGCGGGACCAAAATTGATTGCATCGAATAGGAATTACCGAACATTTGTAGTTATCATGATATGAGGTGCTATGTCTAATTGAGGACTGATATAGCACAATTTAAAAATACCGATAATCATTGTATGGGGGCTAGGCCTAAATGCGGACCGATATAGTTCATTCTTGAACCTTACGTTATAGTTTTTATCTCGATAGATAGACCAAAACATGGAACCACTATGGGCTATAACTATTTTAATATTAAAAACGGGTTATATGGGGACTACCCCTTAATTGGGTGAATATTAATAATTTTTGGTGGGGAGATTTGTTACCATATACGAAAACAAAATACGAACACAAAAACGTGGGCCG